CCCCGTTTACGGGAAGATTTGTTGAGTCTCGCTCCCGAGCTGTCTCGAACACCGCTCGCGGTCCGGTAACACTGGGCTTACGGTCTTGATTGTACAAGGGAGGTTTGGTTACAGGGGCTGAACAGCGAGCGGTTGAGAAACGGGTGGGTAGGGAGAGGAACAGAAGCCGTTGAGTGTGTAGAGAGGCGGAAGACAATTACATAACCAAAGAAATTTGACAGATATAAGATACGAATCGGGAAATTTGAGACCAATTTAAACATGAAAGTTATCCCTACTTAACTTGTGGTGGATTTGATGAACACAACCATAAGCAACAATTAACAGGCCCATTTGAATGTTTGAGTTAAAGTTCGATGCAGCATAAAAAGACAATGTGGAATTACCAATACAATCATTCCCTCAACATTGTAACAGTCAAGATAAAAAAACTGATTCACTACCAAACAGTTAGTGGAAGAAAGATCGGTGGTGGAAGAACCATAGAAGAACTCAAAGACTGATCACATCAGAATGACTTGCTGACAACATTAAAATGATAAGTGTTCAAGAGTTGGATGTACGGGTTTCCAGTTCTCCTGCACCGCCTCCAAGTACCTGCTCCTTGACTTTATTAAGACACAACATTTGCGGGATACTCAATCAAGCGATATTGGAACCTTAGTACCGTACTGTCTCAAGTAAGCAGCTCAAAAAGTGCCAGGAATATCGATCTTGATGATTATCGTATTCACACTGTACTGGAAAAGCATGGAAACCTCAAAGACGTGAAGGACTGCAGGTTTCAGATTGTCGATCAATATCGAAAAAAGCAGTATACTAATAACCGAGCCAAACTCGAGAGGAATCAGAATTCCACAGGGATAAACTGAAATAGCCCCGAGAGCTGCGGGACTGTGGAAAGTAGCTCGGTCGATGAAAAGAGGCAATCAGATTTCCAAATGGAATCCACGAGGCACGGTCCGTTGCGAGAATCGGTTCCTCCAGCATCCAGCACATTCATGTTGTTTGAATCTCGAAGTGATAGATACAGATTAAAGAGATGACTGTACCGGTGTGTGTGTGTGTGTGTGTGTGTGTGTGGATCGACGTGGGGCAAGTGAAATGAGACGCGAGAGTAATGACGTTGGGGGCGAGGGGAGGGAGAGGAATTATAGAGAACGAAAACAATAACAACTCAACACTAACTATGTAACTAGGAAGCGGTATCCCAGGGAGAGGGATATGAAGGAAAGACAATTAGGCATATCGATCAAATGCTGTTCCCGGAACTTTGTGTGCTTGTGTGCGTGAATCAAATGACTTGACTCTCTGTCACTGATGAGCTCTGTGACATTTTAGGTTCGAGCTCTTTCCACCACCGCCCAACTATCTTAGTCGACAGTTTTGCTGTCGTCCGGCTCAGAACCAGACGTGCCAATGGGAGCTGTGTGTAGCTTGTTACTTCAAGCTACAGGGTTCAGGTCTCCAGTTCCCATAATCGAACACTAGGTCCCTGTGACTACGAGGTATATCCATCCCTTCTATGGTTCATCCAATAGAGATGTGTAATAATATAAGATTGGTAATGACGGTACGATGCTTTCTGTTCTACTCATTCTCCATTTGAGTTGTGTGCAAGGCAAATGGTAAATCTTAATGACGTTTGCCGTGACCAGCATACAACAACAAATGCTGGAGAATTAGCAGGACGTTCGCATATGGTCATATCCTCCCTCTGTGGATAATACGATATAATGAGCACCGTCAATCTAACGTTACCAGTGAATGGGGTTTTTCCGTCGGTTATAAGACGAATGAGGTGAATTCAATCAAACGAAACACGGATACTAGAAACGAAATGGATTGAAACAGTTCAAGCAGAACCTGAGACGACTGCACACAGCCTGACCGGTCCGACAGACTTACCAATCTGATCGTCTCGAAACGTATCAATGATCTCGGCCAGCCAAGTTAGTCCAGTCAGCATGGCCACTTCGGACGCAGTCTGACCGGATGCGTTTAACAGATCCCGGGATGCCCCATGTTTGAGCAACAGGCGCAAACAGGCCTCGTGGTTGTTTAACGCGCATATGTGCAACGGAGTGTCCAGATTAGCTGTCCGTGCGTCCAGATCGGCACCGTAGACAATCAACTGTTCCAAATGTTGTGGACGATCGAACAGACAAGCCTGATGAGTGCGAAAAAAACAGAAATACAATACCAGAACGAGGATAGCAGTTACGGATCGAAGGCGGATTTTAAGCACTTCGTGTTCGAGCACCTTCGACCACCCGACGTAGAGGAAGTTGGTTAGAGTGGTTGGCAAAGATGCAGATAGGGATAAAGGAACAATTGGGATTGGATGGACCGATCATGAACAGTTTCATTTGTACTCAGCAAATTATTCTTCTTAGAGTAAAATAAACGAAACATGCGTATTATGAGAAGAATGTAATCAATGTATTACCGATACTTAGCCTATTCTGTCCTATTCGGTGCTTTTAATCACCAGCACAGAAGGATTAGCAAATGTGTACCCCCCCCCCCAAGAACAGTTGTCCAGATACACAAGGAGGCACCACCATTCAGCACTAAGACCCATTCTTCACTTTCAATAACAACTCCGAAACTGCACGTTCACGAAATACGGTCACGCCGAACGAAAGCTGTACATTACCGGGTCAGTCCCCAGACCACGGATCAGGAGTCGGTTAACGATCTGGTGGTTAGCCGTAAATAAGGTAAATAAGTCTAGGCTCATTATATTAGTGATTGCAAACGATCGGTAGTAACGCTTGAGAGTGACCTGAGGCTTAGTTTAACGACCGCTCTCCACTATGAGACACTTACCAGTGCACAGTCTTTCGAACGCTATTCTGGAAGGTGTAAGACATCTACTCGACCTAAATGCTCTAGGCATTTTCCATCCGTCGTCTATACGCGGTTTCCTCCAGCATGAGGTGACTACAGCAAAATACACGCGATGCGGTAGACGGCAACTGAACATACGCAATGTTTGTCATAATCAGCAAAGACCACAAATCTGAATTCTCTGCGCACCCGCGAATTTATCCTTGATAAATTGTCACACACACACACGACGGCATACCTTCAGATTACCAACCTGTTCATTCCCTCCCACGTGGGCCAGACCACGACGAGCACCGATAATCAAAAACATTCAGTGGATGAATATATTCTTGTCGCAAATTAAAGATCTCCGTACTCTAGAGAAGAACTGAACGAACAATAGCACAATATACACAACCTTTCAACTTCAGTGAAATGTCGCGTCTGCGCCAAAGGTGTTATCAGTCCTGCGTATGCTGCTCGAGTTATGGAAATACGTGCGGTTATCTCCTTTGCTGTTGTCCTGTCGTTGATCATGTCAATATATGAGTAGGAGTCGCAATACACCAAAATTATTCACTGGTTTTTTAGTTTCAAAGCGGGATCAGATGACATTCACTCTAACAGCATCACTGTACACTTTGAAGGTGCAAAGCGTATACCGAATAGAGTAACAGCACTTGTTAGTCTGGTAAATTCACCTTGCGCGTCTCTTATTGGTTCGAACAGACAGAGGATTTCATCAGTTTTCTCTAAGTCGCACTACGTTTCTCGTACTGCCCATTCAATGTCAAAGTTTTGCAGACCACTTAGCGCGTTCGCCTGTTTATCGTCAAAGACGAAAGTGACAGGAATGGCGAAATAGGGCAAATCTTGACGATATATATATATATATCACCGGATGACGAACAAGCATGGTGCTAAAGCGGCCATAGCAATAACGGAAAATGGGAGGGTTGGGATACAGAACACACCGCCACAATGTCCCTCCCAGTCTTATCCAGCAAGTGTGATGAGAATACAGGAAGGTAGCCAATGGTCGG